GATTATGTAACATAACATTATCACACTCAGGCACACTACACGACATTTTAGGTGAAATGTTCTAATTAAAAGTATAAATTACTACACCCATATTATTACCTGCCAACCACACTCCAGCAGGCGTCATTTCTGCTGTGTAGCAGTAATAGGAATGCTAATAGGTCTGTCCATCTTGGAAGAGCCGAGTTTGGATTTTGATTCTTCTTAGAGGAATAAGAGCAACCTATAGTCTTGGGCAATTTGTGTAAACTCTCTAAGCTCCAGAGTCCTCATTTCTAATACAGAGATGGTTATGCGGGTCAAATAAGAAAATAAAGTGTCTAGTACAGAATAGGTATCTCACTGTTCCTGTCCCCATCACGTCCTGAGTTGTGAAGCCACTGTCTGCTACAGAAGAGATTTTTTTTTTACATTCAATATTATTCTGTATTAGTTTTAGGAATATAGCATAGTGCTCAGCCAGCAAGAATTTTTTGAATTTATACATCCAAAGATTGGAACTGCTCTTAAAACGCAAATTCTTAAGTATCAAAAGATGTTCGGTAAAACACTTCCAGTTAGGCAGTTTAAGTAGAGGTGGAGTGGTACGCTTGGGGCGGAGATGAGACATACAGAGCTTTGTATATCTGCTTTTATTTTCCCAGGGAACTCTTGCAGCAGACAAGAACGAGATTTTGTTTTCTGAATTCAGCATCAACTACAATAACGAGCCACCGGTGTGTAGGAAAGGGACCGTGTTGATATGGCAAAAGGTAACACCCTGAGAAAGATGGGGGTCGGGGGAAGAGTCTGTGCCCATCCCGAGTTTGTCTTCCCTGCTGCCTGTGTGCTGCTGTGACTGCAGGTGCTAACACGAGTTAGATGCTTCCCAAAACAAGAAGCTGTAGATGACTATTTCAGTGTGGGGTTTTTTGGTCCAGGTTCACTATATCAGTTTGTCAGTGAAATTTGTGACCTTGAATCTCTCTTGTAAGTAGAATCACAGAATTTTAGACCTGTGACACTTATTTTTCTGGGTCATAATCTCTCCTCAAATCAAATAAAACCCTGTTAAAGGATTACAGTGCAGGTATAAGGAGTGTTGCATTCATAACACATTTCAATAATGTTTTCTCCTACACTGGATAATACCACTAAATATCCATACATCCTGTAATAGGGCGCCTGTAATGGGAGGTCCTAAGAGATGTTGATGTTGATGTGAGGGTTCTGATACTTGCAGAATACTCATGAGATTCCCCAGACATTCATACTTACCTTAATGTTCCATAATGAGTCTGTACATTTACCTAAATCCTTCATTCCACCAGTATTTTCCCTCCGTGACCAGCTCCTGGCCACATGATTTTCTCTAAATGTATTTCCTTCCATCCAAAGTAGTTTTTCTGAAATGAATGTTTTCAAGTATTAAGGGGAACCTTGGGAGCTAGTCAGTCATTCCACTAGCAACTTCAGCTCTTTTACTCGTTTTTTTAAAGCACATTTGTTCTTTGGAGACTTCTTAATGCAGGTGGGAAAACAAAACTACCATTAATTCTATAGTTATTTTAAAAAATTTTATAGTTACTGCTCACAAGGAATAAGAAATCTCTGTTCCTAAGATGTTCTTTTAGAATATAGCAACATAACTCTTTCTAGAAGTATTTTTAATTATAAAGAAATTCATGTATGTCAGGATATATGTGTATTTGTGTATCTCTGATAAATATATGTATGTCAAAGTATATAAAGTAAGTAAGCAAACCTCCCTCACATCTCCCCCTTCTCTCCCAAGCCCACTCTTGAGTTCATAGTGTCAATATTCTAACTTACCTGTAGGTGGGAGAAGTCACGACCAAAGAAGTTAAGCTGCCCACGGAAATGGAAGGGAAAAAGGTGGCAGTGACGCGAACCAGGACTAAGCCAGTGCCCTTGCACTGCGATATCATCGGGGATGCTTTCTGGAAGGAGCACCCAGAGATCCTAGATGAAGACAGCTGACCCTTTGCTTTACTGTTCTGCTGTGCTTAACCAGGACGGCCCCCCAAGTCTTCTGGCCTTAGGTGGCCCTAGTATCCCTACCACCCAGAACAGTGTCCCAGGCGTGACATGACTCTGGCTGGGAGGGGAGCAGGGAGGGAAGGCATGGATGGGGCGAGGGGTTTTGTTCTTTAAGTGGAACATCTTTTCTGCAGTGTTAGAACATGGTTCCTTTGGTAGAAGTGCATTTTTTTAAAAAATCATGGTACTATTTTTATAAAGTGAGAACTATTTTATGCCTTGCGAAATGAATCATTTTTAGATTATGGCACAAGACTTACAAAAACCTGCCAGGCTCTTTCCACCTATGATTCAAGTCGAACCCAAAATTTACTGTGGCACACTTGTTCTTAACTAGAGAATCCAGTGACCTTAAATCTCACCTTTCCCACCCATCTGCTTGGCATTCATCGTTGGCAGACCGGGAGGTGAATGTAGGCCAATGCCTGCAGGCTCTCTCTGAATTCAGGAATTCCAAAGAAAACTTGGCTTGGTGTCAGTCTCCAAGTTGGCAACCTTGGTTGAAATAAATGAGTAGTTTGGATGTCCTTCTTAGACAGTCTATAGATCGATTTTGTGGAGTTAATCAGCATGACCGTTGTCTTGCCAGGGGCATTGTTTGCAAGGTCACTTATGTCTTTCTAAGAAGAGTCATATGTATATTTGAGAAAAAATGTGTGAGAATGAATGAACTGGCAGGGAGAAACATTCATTCCATGTCCTTTAGATACTTGTTTTTAAAGTCACCTTGTCACCTGTTGGACTTCGTTAAAAAGATTCTGAGGTCACTTTTGTATCATCAGAACAATGACATTTGAATTGGAGAGCAGAGGGGTCAACACTCCCCTCCAGGTTACCCAGGGCAGGTGTCACTGGAGTGCCAACATCTCCACCTGGTGCTCGCCAGTGGAGGTGGCATGGGTGAGGTGCCCAGGAAGTTGCCGCAGTAATTTCATGCTGCCCAGCTGTTGGCCTCCGAACAGGGGAGATAGTGGGGACAGGTGGTGGGAGAACTCACATTGCCTCTTGTCCTTGTTTCATATTGTAGAGGGAAGAAGTTAATTTGGCTTTATTGAGAACTAAGACAGCTCATGTCCCAGTGCCTGGTCTTGCATTGCAGAATTTACAGCCAAGAAGAACATGTATTTTTGAAAGAGCAACGGCTGGTCTCACGCCTCACCAGTTGATGCCCCATCTGTCCACACCATGTTTTCCTTTCCTGTTCTTACTCCACAGGAACAGATCTGGTTCATGTTTAGCAATTGATAAAATCTGTGTGAGAATAAAGGTTTCAGCTCCCTAGGCCTAATTTTTCATTTATTTTTCTCACACAGTATATCTGAGTCCCACTTGTGTGTGTGTGTGTGTCTTCATAAGCCAGAACATACATATCTTTCATCATAGCAATGGTTCACAGGTTTCTGGGTGCACAAAGGTGCTTGGGATGCTTGTTTAAAATGATGACTCCATATTTCCCCATGAAGATTGGGGGTTCCATAATTTGCTTTTTAACTCTAAAGGGTCCTGATGCCTATGGTCGTTGATACACCACATTCTGGGCCACAAGGTATACTGTAAGTGAAATAAGGCAATAAATAATGTAGCTCTTGACTAACAAAAGGGGTAAGTAAATTTTTAGTACTTCATATCAAAACATATAGGCATTAAAGTATGAGTTTTCAAGACAAAGCCATCCAAAGAAATGTGCTTTCAGTGGATGCTGTGCAATACTACAAAGGCTGATAATTGGTTTTGTCACAAGGTTTGGGGACAAACACTTGTTGCTTGAATTGCCAGCAGTTTGCAGCTTTGGGTTTTGTTTTGGCAGAGGGTTTTTGAGCAAATGAATATTCTGGGCTTAATACTCATGCCATAACTAAATCTATAGTGCTATTATTGCTTGATGGTTTTTGTTATTTTGTGTGTGTATTCCAATGTATAGTGCAGTTTATAATCATTTTCATCTTGCTCTTTTAGGATAGAGAATAGTATTTTCTTGGGCTTCCTTTCCAAATCTAAAGAACTAAGATACACAAAAGGAGCTGGTGTAGAGTCAATACTAGTTGATAGTTTTGAGGAGTGGTGGCAATTAGATTTTTGTGGCTCATAGGTAACTGGAGCATCTTATCTCTGCTGGATGAGGGGGGTAATTAATACCTGGGCCTTTAGAGAAGACTATCATTTTAATATTAAAAAATGTTTTGCTGAGCAGAGAGTATAAAGTACAACCAGTCTTGTAAATCCTTCATCCTGTGTTCCAAGACCAGGATCATTTTTTCTTCAGTTGCTCAGCAATGCTTAGAAAATCAGTGATGCTAATGATTTTTCTTTAATACTAAGATTTGTTAGTGCAAATTACTTTTTAAATAGGATGTAGGAAATGGAGGACTGGAATCCGCCCCCTCTTCATTATTTCATTGTGCACTTAACCAATATTAGCTAACATTCATGGAGCATTTACGCACTCTGCACTGTATCTTCCCTGTTAGGGCAATTCTAGGACGTAGCAACTATTAGTCATATTGAGGATAAGAATGTGAAGACCCGGCGAAGCTAAGTAATTTGTGTCTAGGGAGGCTTAACGGCATCGGTACTTAGCATGAAAGCAAATTGGGACATTTCTAGCCTTCTTCCTGCCAGCTCAAGCTAGGAGTAAATAGCAGTCCCAGCGAAGAGAGACACGCCCGGAGAGTTAACACACTGGTCCCGGACTCGACCCCAGGGAATCTGGAGTATTAACGAACACGCCAAGTGATACACAGATGGGGAAATATAGCATTGAAACATTAATCCGTCACCCCCGCGCTCAGGACATACGGAGCCCTGACAAGCCGCAGCTGCGCGCCACGCCCCTGGGGTAGCTGACCGCGGACAGGTGCTGCCCTCCCGCGGTCGCGCCGGCGCAGTGCGACCTCGCTCCGCGGCTGCGCAGTACCGCCCTCTGGCGGCCCGGCTCCTTCTTCCCATCGGCCTCAGCTTGCGGGCCTTTCAAACATGGAGGAGCGGGAGCGGGGGGCGAGGTCGCCTGGCGCCGGGAGCCCGGCGCGCCCGCCCAGCCCGCGGTTGGATGTCAACTCGGACAGCTTCGACCCGCTGCTGGCCCTGTACTCTCCCCGCCTGCCTCCCATCCCCTATCCCAACGCGCCCTGCTTCAACAACGTGGCCGCGTACGAGACCTTCCTCAGGACAGGGTCCCGGGGCGGCGGGCGCGGGCGGGCGCGGGGCGCAGACCCAGCCTCAGGGGCCTCCGCCGCCGCTCGACCCTCCAGCAGGACCCGCCGCCGGGCAGACGCCCCCGCCCCGGACCCCGAGCGCATCGAGCGCCTCCGCCGCCTCATGGTGGTCAAGAAGGAAGGGGACGAGGCCGACCGGGATAGCCGCCGGCCTCCGGGCCGGAGCAGGAAGGCACCGCGCAACGTGCTCACGCGAATGCCATGTGAGTCCGGCGGGCGCAGACGAGGGACTGGCTGGCTGTCCGTGAGGTGGCGGCCGAAGGGGCACTTGTGGGACGATGGGGGCTTGGCGTACTAGGTAGGGTCTGTACTTATTAGGGGGAGGGTCTCGTGAAGGTTTGCAGAGGTAGTCAGCGACTGTTGAGGAGGGCGGTTGTACTTGCTTGAATACTGTGGGAAATGGGAGCGGTCGTCCAGAATGATGAAGAGTCGGCACCAGCCCTGAGGCAGAGTAGGAAAAGCTGGAGAGGGGATCGGGAGCAATGGGGAGGGTCTGCGTGCGTAATGGGTGTCGGTCTGCAAAGGTGGTGGGGTGATAGGGAACTTACAGAGAGCTTCTGCAGGAATGGGGGGGGCGGGTCTGGAGAAGTGGAGCCCGGAAACCATAGGAAGGGCTTGCATAGGTGTCGGGCGGTTTGGGGGACCACAGACGGAGGAGGTGGTGCACAGCCAGCATTAGGGGAGTGAGCGTTTGGTCAGTGGGGTGTGGGGACGATGGGAGGGAGTGTGGGGAGATCTGTTCAGATGGCGCAGGGGACAGAACCTCAACCCCTGCACGTTAAGTGACGGCTCATTCCTCGGTGCTGTACGTAGGAGAAGGGTCGCAGGCTCTCGATGTGCACCTTTTCGCTTTGCCAGATCTTAAGTGCTAGAATGCAGCAGGCACAAATGCCACTAAAACACAGACACTGTTTTACAGCTCTTGTAGCCTCCTAATAGATCCTTAGAGCAAAGCTGTAAACAGCAGAGGTTGCTAATGTGTGAATTAGGTCTTGTATGAACGGAATAAAAACAGCCCAGGGTTATATCTTTAGTTATCTGGCGAGCAGTTCTGACATCTGCCGGGTGAGTGCAATGACCTCCTTAGCCATTCAGAGCATCTGTATCCTGATAGCTGAATTGTGACATTATTAGATCCCTGCCTTCCTAATAGAGGGTTGTGCTAGTAAGCAAGGCTATATTTGGTCTTATTCCTAGAAATGTGTTTATTTATCCTGAAAAGCTGTGTGCTGTTGGGGGTGCCTCTGTCAGGCGATTCACCTTGCCAGAGCATCCTTGCCCAAGCTTAGGGTTCACCCCAGATTGCTTGTCCCACAGTAACACAAAGATGGGGGGCGAGCATCCCATTCCTAAAGTAAAAGCAGTTTGGAGGACCTGGTTTTGCCTCTGCTTTTTGCCACATCAGGTCTTTGAAATGCGCCCCAGGTCTCAGAATGTAACATTCCTTTCCATTTTGCCAGTTATTGCTTTGCTACTAAGATTGTCAAGGAAAAGAAATATTTCTATGTGGTGGGTGGCTTTAGCTTTACCTGGGGAGCACCTTTGCTATAGTGTTCTGGCACAGTGTGAAGCCCAGCTTTGTTGATTTACCACTTTAAAATATATGCCTGGAATCAAGGCCTCAGTTTGCTCTGAAAATTTTAGTCATGCCACTGGAACCAGTAGTGTGTATGAGGGAGATGGGTAGGCATCACAAAGAGTTATGACCTTCAGAAAGCAAAAAAAAAAAAGCAAAAACAAAAACAGAAGCATGGATGGAGACTAGATTTATTCAAGAAAGAGTTTCTGTAAGGGTTAACTTTAGGTCTTCAAGGCAAGGAAGATCGTGATTCCAGATAACAGTAATTATTTGAAAATCAGGCTGTTGAGGTGTAAAATACTCAGCATATAGCAAAATACTCCCTTTTCATGTATTTTCACCACCACAATTAAGATACAGAACAATTCCATCACCCAGAAAGGTTCCTTATGCCCCTTTGTAAGCCAGGTGATAATTTTATTGCTGCTAATTGTAGCCACTATTATTGAGCACATACGCACTTGACATTTTGCTAAGCCTTTTAAATGCATTATGTCTCATTGTGCCCTTAGATACAGCTTCGTAGATGAAGAAACGGAGGTTCAGTTATTACCTTTTAGAGCCCAGGTCACACAGCTGGTTAGTTTGCAGCTGAGAATCCTGGGTTCGTCCAACCCCAGGGCCTCTGTGCTTACCCTGTGCGCTCATCTCAGGGGAGGGGGGAGAGGACGTCCGTCATTTTCCTGTCTCCTTGCATGCTCATTTTTGGTGTGTGGAGGGTGCTGCATGTGTGAAGCTGAGGGTTTGTGTCCAGAGCGGTGAGAGTGGAATTTAAGTCCAGAGAGGGACTTGTTGCTAGAATCCATGGAAGAGCCAGCCCGAAGGGTTTCCGTTAGACTTTATGATGATGGAGAATGGGAACCATGGAGTGTACTCTTAAGCAAAAGCACTTTCGGGGCGGATGTTTCTAGGAGCTAAGTTTCTGGTGGTAAAGCGCATTTGGGGGTGGAGAGGAACACAGGTCTGACTGCCTCTGTGTGAGCACCAGCTCCCCCACTGCTAGCTGTTTTAGTTCAGGTGAGTCACTTAGACTCTTCGGGGCTCCCGCTTCTTCATCTGCAATGTGAGGACCACAATAGACTCTGTTGTGGTGATGTTTAAATTAGTTAACACCTTTAAAGCATTTACAGCAATAATCTTCCTTAACATGCGGGAACATTCTTGGCGAATGTGAACTGTCCCTGGTCGACTGTTATCAAAGGCTCTGGTCAGGGTGCGTGTGCTCTGCCTCTGTTGATGGTTGGCTCAGCTGTTTACTAGGTAGGTGGGTGGGTGACTGAGCAAATTATTTCAACTTTCCTAAGCCTTGATTTCTTGATCTATGGACTGAGGGGAAATAAGGCTACGTATGTGTTAGTTGCGACAATTGAAGAAAATAATGGTACATAAAGTTAAACTTACCACAGGGTGTGGCCCATACTGAGGGCTTAGTAGTTGGTGATAATGATGGTGACACTGATGATGGTGATATGATTGGTTGTGAAGAAGAAAGATCTGAGTTATTGAGAATCTATTGTTTGAATTTGGTGATGGTCATGAGCAGGGAAAAGAGGAAGAGTGGAGCTTTAAAAAGTGACCTGGATTTGGGAGGGTGTGGCCCAAGCATGATGGCAATGGAAAGGGAGATTTAGAAGAAAGGTTTTCTGCAAAAAAGAGGCGCTTTTTTTTGCCTTTGTCATATTAAGTTTTTATTAGCTCATACCTATTTGGAGTTTGTCACAGAGGCTGCTGGAAAGAGGTTCAGAATGTGAAGCTCATTTTCGCCTTGGCAGGTTGCTCTGATAGGTGATGCTGGTGTTGTACCTTTGATCACAGAAGGGGAGAACTGCTTCCTGGAACTATACCTTATTACATTTTTTGAAGGAAAAAAAATCAAGGGAAAGACACAGATGTAAGAGATGAAAGAAAGACCTGAGTTTCCTATTGGTTTAATTAGAATAAGGGACTTGTTGAGCTACATGCTTGTCCTTCCTCTTTGATTTGGGGGTGTGCAGGGAGAAGCAGCGCCCCATTTTCTTCCAACTTAGAAACAGAATGGTCTTTCCCCTCTTTGTGGAAACACATGTGTAAGGGAGTGATGCGGGGGCAGTGTACATGTAAAGGCAAAGTGAGTAATCCAGGCACTGTGATCAGTTTCTGAGGAATTGAATTATGGAGATTTATTCCTGAATCTAGAAGCTAACTAGTCCTCTAACTTCATTTTATGAATCAGGAAACTTGGATTTGTAGAGAGAAAATTATTTACCAAGGTCACACTGAAAGTTGTTTACAATGTTGGATTCAACACAGTTTGTAACACATATCCAGACACATGTACATACACACACACACACATACATCAAAGGGTCAAAGAATTTTAGACTATTGCTAGAGGAAGGGTAGGTGATGAAGGTCAGACCAAGGTTCTCACGTTCCTTCCCAAGGCTGCTCTTTCTGCCACTCTGTATCATCTGTGCCTTCTTGCTGCATCTTCAGTCTGACATAAGCTCCTACTTCTCACCTTATGTCACTTCCTTCTAAGAGTATTTTCTTTTATTAATTTATCACTGCCATCATTTATAAGCCCATCCATGAGTGAAGAATGAGGTCAAGAAGAATGAGTTATCCAAACTGAACTGTGGAACTGTTGTTCTATTTTTGTGCCACTAGCAAGAAAACAGTCATTTTTTGTTTGTATACTTTCAATGGCAGTAACCTCCAAAGAATTGTGCCTTGCAAACTTGGGAGGGAGGGAAAGACTGAGACTATATGCATGAATGCGAGAGTGTGTGTGTGAGAGAGAGAATGTGTATGTGTGATTTTCTTTTGAGAGGTTGTATACATTATGTAGTATAGGCAGCAAATTGTGAAGGGTAAATTAACATGAGGTAATAAAAAACTTTATCTCCGTTCCCAAGCTCTGCAAAAAGAATCCGTAATTGTAAAAGCTGATAATATAATCCCAGCATTCTTATGCGTTGTCACACTGCTGTTTTTACATGCTGCTCATCAGCAATCTCATGGGAGCCAAATGTTCAGCAGGTGCCATTCCCCCAGAAAGGCTGGAATACAAGCAGGTCCATGACTACTAGTGTGAAGGTGATGTACGTTGAAACACTTCAGACATATGAACAAGATTTTCAGTGATTTGGAGGGCTCAAGCTGGATATGTGGTTTATGAGAATTACCCTAAAAAATGTTGTCTTAACTAAACACAGAATGAGAAGAATCTAGCTGCTGTGTACATTTAATGTGGTTTTGTTTTGTTTTGTTTTTGCCCAGAAAGGCTTTAAATGCTGATGCATCTTAGAATCATAGACTCTGGGATGTGCAGAAGGCGAAACTTTCGGATGATAGCCATTCACATGGTTTATCCACATTGTGGTGGAATCTGGTCTCATTCCAGTGTGTGTCGCCTGTAACAGCCATATTGCCCATTGGGCCTCTCTGTTCCCACAGTGTGGGAGGTTGCCACTGTATAGTGCTGCCTTGTGTTGCTGGAGGTGGATGGGTGGTCTAGGTCATTAGTTCTGGGAATGAGAGCAGATGTTCGTGCTATGCTGACTATTCTTCTCGTGTTTCAGTGCATGAAGGCAGCCCTCTGGGTGAACTCCATCGTTGTATCCGGGAAGGGGTGAAGGTGAATGTTCACATCCGCACTTTCAAGGGACTTCGGGGCGTCTGCACGGGCTTCCTCGTTGCATTTGACAAGTTCTGGAATATGGTAATTGAGCCTTCCTCAAGGGGCTGGAAGAACCTCTGGGGCATTAAATCTTTTATAAGTTTAAAGGTCCCGAGTAACCTTATTCAGCAAAACCTACAGAATAACTTCCCAGAAAAAACAGAATCTTTACACTCTCTTGGGAAGCAACAAAAAGGTTCTTTTTATTTTCTTTTTCTTAAGGCAGTGGCTTTTAGTTGGGTAACTTTACCCTTGTCTCCCTCCCAGGGACATTTGTCACTATCTGGGGACGTTTTTTTGATTGTCCCACTGTGGAATGACAGGGTGCTTCTGGCATCTAGTGGGTAGAGGCTGTGGATTTTGCTGCATGTCTTACAATGCAGACAGCACCCCAACAACAAAAATTTATCCAGTGCAGAATGTTTTTAATGCCAAAGTTGAGAAACCCAGCCTGAAGGAATAATGACTTACTTCAACTGTTTAGTAAATTTTACATTGATTTTCTATTAAAAATATTTATTGGCATCTCATTTTCGCTGGACATAATGCTAAGTGCAGAAGTTTCAGAAAGGAACCATCACTCTTCTGTTTTTGAAAAGATAGAAAAAATACAATAAAGATTACATTTTAAAAAAAGAAAGATAAGGTTAGAGGGAATGCAGACATATTGATAAGCAAGATACTTTGCATGGTGTTTGCTTATGAAGAAGTGTACACATGCCCCCAGCCTTCTAGAGGCTATTGTTCACTAGATATTGAAGAAGGGATATGTTATGTTGTAGCACAGTGTAATGTGAGGCAGGTAAACTAGGAGCCATCAGGGCTCCTAGTGTTTCTCTTCCTTATGGTCATCCGTCTCCAGCTTTTCTTTTCCCTGCGCTTTGTCTGCATCCATGCATTCCCCTGGATAATAATAGTAGTTGCTAATATTTAGTAAGCACCTATGTGCCAGATACTATAATAAGAACTTTACATATATTATTTCAGTGAATGAATTGTATATATGTTTCTGTTTCATTTCACAAATGAAGGGATTAGTCCAGATCACACTGTTAGTAAGTAGAAGTACTAGGACTTTATTTTAGTTCTTTCTGGCTTTTAAAACCATGTTTTCAACCATCATGGAATTAGAAAACCTGGATTTGAATCCTAACTTTACCACTTGGTAACTGTGTGACTTTAGGCAAGGTAATTTCTGAGGCTCAGTTTTCTTGCCTCTAAAATGTGAAGAAATATATTTTATTATTATAATTTTATTTTCGAAGGAAAAGGACTTAAGCAAACATATGTAATGACAGTGCTGGTACTCATGGTACTGTCAGCTTATGTTTGTATGGTGATTGACACTTTTCAAAGCAGTTGCTCACACAGGATCTCCTTTGATCCTGACAGCTGTCCTGTGTGGCTGATCTCTCAATAACAAGAATTCACCGGTAATTCATTGTGTAACTCTAGTCAGTCTCTCTTAATTGCTTCATAAAACTTAGAAACTGGAAAAGGAGAAGAAGCAATAGTGTAGTGTTTCTCAAAGTGTGTCTAAGGCTGTCCTGCAGCAGAGTCACCTAGGATTTCTGGTTAAAATAAAGTTTCTAGGTTTCATCCTGACCTACTGAACCTGAATCTCTAGGAGAGTAGTAGCCTTGGATTCATAGTCTAATAAACTTCCTAGAATTCATGCACATTGAAATTTAAGAACCTCTCTGCAGTTGTAAAGGCCCCTTGCCACAGTAGAAATTCGTCTTACATGGTCGTAGCCACTTGGAAATCTTACTCAGAGGGTGCCAGGTATTACCATTTTTTTTTCTGCCAGTAGCTGAGTCACCTCTTAAGTTTAATTATGCTACAATTAGATGTTATTCTGCCTTTAAAAATTTTTTTGAAAGCTATAGAAATATTTTTAACTCTGCCTTATTTTCTCCTTTGGGCTGTTTCTCTAGGCACTTACCGATGTGGATGAGACCTACCGAAAGCCTGTTCTAGGCAAAGCGTATGAGCGGGATTCTTCATTGACTCTCACGAGGGTAGGCCATTTCTCCTCATTTCCTGGGCACCATCATGCTTTCAGCTTAGGAATTAAAGTCACTGAGCCCAGTGAGCATGTTTCCTAGTGGGAAGGCCCTAGTGCTGTCACCAAGGTATGTCTGGACCAAGGTCTCCAGCAGTTTGTCTTCTTATGCATCCAGCTAATCTCACATGAGTTTCTGCTTTTGACCTGCAACAAGGCCAAAAAGTCTTTCTCTTTTACCCTGTAGAAATAAGCAGGTGCCTTTTCTCTTGACATATTTGCAGATTTATGGGTAGAAATAGAAAATTCATTGCTGACTTTTTGGCCACAGAGCACGTGGGTCCATAAGTGGACCCGTCAGAATTGCCAGTTTCCTTTCTGGCAGGTGATTGGAAACAAACAATTGATCCTTCTGATTAAGGGAACATCCAGGGGTTCTTGGATTTTTTAAAGGTGGAATTAACCTATGGAGGGGAAAATAAGGTCATTCCTGAGCTATTGATTTTAATAGTAATTTTGAAATGCTTTCCACCCCCAAGCTAGTGTTAAAAGATGCATTGTAAATGCGTCATAAATCTATTTTTATTAAAATATTTTGAGTAAAGCAGCTAAAAAAAAAAAGAAAAGAAAATTCATTGCTGACTTTTTAAAAGTTGCGAAGCAAGTTGTCCACAGAGCATATTGAAAGACTTTGGTCTTTATTTCTGTGTATTGGAAGAGGGATGTTAAGGGCTAATATTTGTCATTGCTTTCCTTGTAGCTATTTGATCGACTAAAACTTCAAGATTCTTCCAAGAAGGAGGCAGATTCTAAGTCTGCAGTTGAAGACTCCACTCTGTCCAGATACTCTCAGACGTCCACTTGGAAGGTAGCTTCAGTGTGGGGAAGAGGAGACACTGACCGGGGTTCACGCAAGCCTTCCCGCTCCGTCCCTTCCTCCCTGCAGGCATCCACAAGGGAGGAGTCCCGGTCAGAGCTGTCAGGGAGGACTCTGCGGACAGAAGGGTCTAGTGTGGGAGGTACCTTTTCCAGAGCTACCACGCTTTCTAGGGGCCAGTCCCGTAAGAAAAAGAGAAAGCCCAAAGTAGATTACCAGAAGGTATTCACTAGACACATAAATCAGATTTTCATTCGAGGGGAGAATGTCCTGCTGGTTCATCTGGCACAGTGACCAGCCCAGCCTTGAGCTTTGGCTTTTAGAAATAAAATGCATGAACTGCTGCTATGCTGTATCCTAGTGTCCCCGTGAATCCCTGAGTTGGAATGATTCCCTCTGGTGCTGCATGTGTTGAGGAGGGAGCCAGGCTTGGGCTTTCTGGGAGTCGAGCGCCCTCAAGGGGAGACAGGTCTTGGGAGGGTGGGCGTTTGCATTAATATCAGGGCTAAAGCTGCACATGGGCGCACACATCTGATTTGGGATTGTGGTCGACTTCAGACACTCAAACCAAAGATAAGATCTTCCATTTGAATCAGGAGTTATGGTGTCAGTTGAATTCACCCCATGGACTCTATAGCATGGAGGAAAGAAACTCTCATTGTACAAGGTGGTGTGCTGAGTACTCATGAATTTGAATCGAAGAGGAGCAGTATACCCTGTCATGGAGCCCTGCACCCCCATTTTGTAGCTGTTAAATTTTGCTCTATACCGTTCTCTCTTAATCAAGAACTGTAATCTGTAGATAAGAGCTAAGAATGCTGCCAATTTATGTAAGGGTAAAATATAAATAGTTGGTGTGCTTAAAGCAGCCAGCAACGAATGCCTTGTTTTTATCCCTCTCCTTGTAATGGAAATGAGTAGGGGACCTCAGTGGTCTTTCCTTACCAGCGGTAACTTCTGTGAATGGCATACCAGGTGGGACTATAAGATGCTCAAGTGGTGGCTTCTTGTCCTTCTCTCTAACTTCTGTGGCATGGTGCTAGTGCATGTATGCTGTGTATTGTCCCTTTGTGACCTGTCCTGTGAGCTTTATGGAAAGGGACTGGAACCTTTATGTCTGGCTTCAAAGAGAGTGCTGCATGAACTCAGTAATATACGTGCATCATACAGCTGAGAGTCCCCTTTGCAGGCAGGGCTGGCCCAGTGTGGAATACCTTTCAGAATGGTTTTCCATGAGACAGTGGTGGCAGTTCCATTATTCCCTTGTGTCAGGCCGAAGAGGTTCTCACAAATGACAGTGGGTGCTGCCCGGAAGGGACCCCTTGTGCACAGCCTGGCTGCAGCTGCAGGAGCACCACAGCGCTCGCTGATACTACTTGAGTCATAGTCATGGCGGGATAGGCAATATCTTGACACAGACTGTTAGGCAATATTGATTTTTTGTTATGTTTATATTTGGTTTTATTGTAGGTAAAGCGAAAATAAGAAATAGCTACTAGTTAAAATGCTTGAAAAGAAAAGTTTCTCCTGCTGTATTTGTTGTGTAACTTAGAGAAGCCTTTGAAAAGCAGGGTGAATAGAGTTTGTGGAGCCAGGATGCCTTGTCCTTCTATTAGCTGGGTCACAGGCTCATTGTATAATGAAAGGAGAGCAGGCTCAGCCCCTCTGTGCCTCAGTTTTCTCCATCAGACACTCACCTGACAGGAGCACTGAGACAATTTTAGGAAGGCATGTCAAACATTCTGAACATGTGTAAGTGCCATGAGTAGTTTTTATTAGCTCTCTTTCATAGTTTGGTAAGAATTCTTATGAGCAAGGCAGGTGCCACATAAGGAACTGATCTCCGTTAGGTGTCATAATTGTGATCTTGCTGTGGTCAGAAGGCAGTGATATCTTCAGGAACTATTTTTCTTGTTCCATTCCTTTATCCTAAGGGACAATGGATGTTTCAGAAGAATATCTTCAGTAAGAGGAGAGTAGTATTTCATTGCTGCTCACCCTACATCCTAGTCCCCGCCCTTTTCTGGTCGTTATCAGAAAGAATCCCCCTGAACTTCTTTGGGGTTTATATGACAGTACCAGAGGGAGAGTGAGCATCTAAAAATAACACATCCCCACAAAGGAATTTGTGGAAACTGTTTTGTTTATTTGTTTTTATTTTAAAGTATACCTTAAATATTCTTTTAGGGCCAGAGCAGACCCACTAAACATTCAAAGAGGTTCCACATCACAGACTTGGAACAGTCATCTTTGGGATCTTTCAGTCTAATCTCTTCTAAATAGTGTGTCTGAAATCTTGGTTCTCCAGTTAGTAGTTGTTTAACCGTCAGCCACCCAGGCTCTACCTCGTCACCAGTCTCCCCTTTTCAGCCGCCGTCCCCATCTGTCTTCCCTTTTGTTCCTCAGCTAGAAGCTGTGATGGTGACTAGATTCTCCCAATAAAGTAGAGCTTTGAAATGAAAAGGAATATAGTCAGTTTCTATTCATTCTAAAGAGTTAATCATGCCTGATTAAATCTGACCTGATTTATTTTAAACACATGCTTTCATTCATGTTTGTATACAATTTTCATATATCCATATAGGGTTGATGTACTTCTTTTCTGCCCAGTTTCACAATCCCAGCTCTGAAAATTATTTTAAAACTGTGTGACCTGTTTTATGTGCCCATTTATTTGTTTGGTTTGGACAGTGATCCCGGAATGAAGGAACTATCTAGTAATGTGCTTTTTGTACAAAGCATGCTTTTTGTAGAGAAGTCAGTTTTTTAAAAATCATTGCCTTTTTCCTTATTATTGGAGAAATTTTTCCTGAGGAAGAAAAAAATAGGTCCTAGCAATGTACATGCTGCTCAAAACAATGTGCTAATCCAGGCCTTACAGTGACTGCTGTGGAAACTGCTGAGTCTCCCTCAGGAGGAGAGAGGAGGGCAGAGCGGCAGTGTCCTGCGGGCCCCCACCACTTACCCCCAGGGGCTCAGAGCAGCTGCGGAGCAGCATAGCTGGCTTCAGTGTTCTCCAGAGACTTGGACTTGGGGAATGTGGCAGGAATAGCACTTATTTTTGAACATCCAAGTTTGGGTCTTCAGAGTAATCCCTAAACTTGGGAGTGTGTTTTCTAGACGTTTTCACAGGGCACACCTGTTTTCCTGGTAAGGTGCTGTCAGGAGTTTCCAGCTTTGTTAGGAAGAATAAGGGATTAAGAAATGGACGATAATGGTTTCAACACCCAGAAACCATGTGCACTCTTTGTACATAGAAGTAATTCTACTGGCCACCATGAGAACTTGCACTTCAGGTTGTTTGTTCTAGTGTCTGGGACGCATTTATGCTTCCTTTTGGGACCATCTTATGCCAGAGGTGGGCCGTGGAAGAGGCGGCCAGAGTGAGCCATGTCATCAGTGCTCTGCTCTCTGTGCAGGGCGCGTGTCAGGTCAAAAAGCCCAGACGCCATTAGCGGTGAAGTGTAGGTGCGTCGGAATTCTAGCTCTGAGTTGTCAGTGGATCGAGAAGGCTTTTTATCTCTTTCTATGGTGAAGCAGTCCAGGAGCACTTTCAGAGACTGTCAGGTCATGAGCTGTGAGCCGCCCTTAATCCACAGAAGCCTTTCAGAAATGTGGGTGTACTGCTTGTGGGTGTCCCTTGAGAAAAAATAGAAACCTGACTCGATGAAGAGGACATATTCATGCTCCTGTTTGCACTTACCTACAGCAGCTGACATGGGTAAAATTGTGAAACAACAGATTCTGTAAATTTTTCTTTAAATTTTGTCTTTAGGGAAAAAAATAAATTATTCAAAGACAGCTAGCTGTCACTGGTGCTGCCGTAAAGTTTTCCAATCCTTTGTGTATTTTTTTATGAATGAGATGATTGCTGTGGGAAGGTCAAGGTTTATATAGGGTATAATGGTATAGATATAGTGCTTTCCCAACTGTTGTAATTGTTCTTTTTTTGGTCAAAATGTAGGATGCAGTCAACCCCTTTTCAGTTTTTCTGGGCAGTAACTCCCGGAAGGCTTTTCTTAGTGATTGTAAAGCAAGAATATCTTATCTGGGCCTGTGTTGCAAAGGTGTGTGATCTGTCATTGCTTTCTGACTAATTGATTTGATGGATTTAAGATAAGCCTTTGGGGTTCCTTGTCACTGTTTCCTGGGCTCTGAGAAAGGGCTGGGCCTTCTTTATTCTCAGTGTTTTGAGTATTTTTTCAAATGTTTGTGAGTTCTCATGCACTCCTCTAGTAGAAATGAAAGCTCTCTGTCAAGAAATGGCTTTGGATGGTTTGGAGGTCTGGGGCGGGGGGGGGGGGGCAGAATAAGTACACCTGAGACCTTCAGTTGATCTTTTATTTATTGATAATAGAAAGTAGTTTGATAAGCAACCAGAGTTAGTGCTTCTTTAAAAATACTCTGAAAAGATGGACTGCCCCTCAGGAAAGCTGTAAAAGCTGTTCCCAGGACATTGCAATTGCTTTTGATTTTTGGTCCTTTGGAACAAACGTCTGATGTTATGTTTTTAGAGCTGTGGGGAAAAATGTCTAAAAATATTAAGGGGTTTTATTTAAACATTGGTTATCTGGCTGAATTTTGTGGGAACCAGGTTCTAGGGCAGCTGTCCAGTTCTTCTTCTGTTGTCCTGGCAGTAAAGCAGATAGTGAGTGATATCTCAAAAAGTGATTTAGTTATTTCATACTGACACCGTAAGACGTTAGCCTTCGGGGCTTCCCTGGGTATACTCCACTGCACCGTGACATGTTACTGTTTTTTTAGACAGGACTAAACCTGGATGACTCTGAATTTAGAGTTTTTTTCTTCATATACCAGCTGCTAAAAGAAAAACTGTGACTTGTAATCTTGTCTTGAAATTACTCCTAATGTTAAGTTCACCTAACCCCTTCCTGTTTAGGGAGGATCGCTGCTAGTAACGTCGGTTTGTATTGTTCTGCTTTAGATATGTGCCATATGGGAGTCTGGAAACTGGAATAAATATGATTGCA